AATTTCCCCTCTACTGTAATATCTTCTCCAAAGAACTGATTTGTTAACCTGAAGAGGGTAGCAAACAAAATATTTTTTATAATCCTGTTCACTGGGGATTTGCAATTTATTGTATTTCTATTCTCTGAGAAGTGAATGTCTCCTGGGTAACCAAGAAGCTGAAGACTTTCTAAAGGTACGTCTGACAGAGGAGAGAACAACAACTGGGACTGAATGAGTACACATAATATGCATAGAGTAGAAAATACATATATTGAGCAGCACATGCTAGACTTTTAATACCACTTTTATAAATGTGTCACAATTCATACATGTACAAGGATATACTATAAAAGGGTAATCCCACCAATGTTGGTGACAGAGATTAAAAAGGTGGTAAATCCTCATTTGCCATCTTGTTTGCAAGTGAGACTACCCTTGGAGACATGAGGCTAAGTGTCTGAGGAAATTAGCAGGTTTTATTTATTTATTTTTATTTATTTATTTATTTTTTTTACAGGCAGAGTGGACAGTGAGAGAGAGAGACAGAGAGAAAGGTCTTCCGTTTCCATTGGTTCACCCTCCAATGGCCACTGCGGCCGGCACACTGCGCTGATCTGAAGCCAGGAGCCAGGTGCTTACACCTGGTCTCCCATGCAGGTGCAGGGCCCAAGTACTTGGGCCATCCTCCACTGCACTTGCCTGGCCACAGCAGAGAGCTGGACTGGAAGAGGAGCAACCGGGACAGAATCCGGCGCCCTGACCAGGACTAGAACCCGGAGTGCTTGCGCTGCAGGCGGAGGATTAGCCTATTGAGCTGCGGTGCTGGCCTATTTATTTTTATTTTTAAAAATTTATTTTTTAAGGAGTATAAATTTCATAAGTTTAGGAATATAGTTATTCTTCCATCATATCAGCTCTCCTACCCACACTCCCACACCTTCCCCTCCTCCCTCTCCCCTTCCCAGTCCCATTCTCCATTAAGATTCATTTTCAATTAACTTTGTACACACAAGACCAACTTTATACTAAATAAAGATTTCAACAATTTGCACATATATGCACACACAAAAAACACTATTTGATAACTAGTTTTACAGTTAACTCTCATAATACAACTCTTTGAGGACAGAAGTCCTGCATGGGGAGTTAGTGCACAGTGACTCCTGTTGTTAATTTAACAATTAACACTCTTATGTATGACATCAGTGATCACCTGAGGCTCTTGACATGAGCTGCCTAGGCTATGGAAACCTTTTGAATCCACAAACTTTGTCAGTATTTAGACAACACCATAACCAAAGGACAAGTTCTCTCCACCCTTCAGAGAAAAGTACATCTGTCTTTGATGGCTACTTCTTTTCACTGGAGTCTCACTCACAGAGATCCTTCATGTAGAACATTTTTTTGCCAGTGTCTTGGCTTTCCATGCCTGAATTTCTAGCAGGTTTTAGAATCGGGTCTTACAAACACAGTCAAGGGCAGGCATGGAGGGCACCAGGCCCTCCACCAAGTCCTTGAATGTCCCTTCATTCAAGGACTAGAGATGGAGGAGCTTGTCTAGAGAAAGTGAAGGACCCCAGAGAAAAGGCCTCCAGAGACTTAAATCTGAAAAAAATAAAGAGGATAATCAGCTACACATTTATCCTAGAGCAATGATTCTCAGCTGGAGGTGATGGTGGGGGAGGTGGAATTGTCTCAGGTGACATTTGGAGATATTCTTTATTACAATGATTGCAGGGGAGTGGTACTCCCCGGATCCCTTAGCAGGGAAGCTGCTAAGCATCCCACCATACACAGAACAGCCCCCACAACAAAGAATTATTCAGTCCCAATGGCCAATAGTGCCAGTGTTAGAGTGCCTTAGTGCAAAGTCCAGAGATAAGAGCTCATGCCCTCATCATTCACATAGGACTTCAAAAGGCTTTTTGGGACTATGAGCTGTTGGCCTTTCACCAGTCCTTTTTAAAAAATTTCTATTAATATGAAAAGAACAGATTTCATAGGTGCAGTTCTAAGAAGATAACCATTCCCCTCTTCCTCCCTCTCTTTCACGTCTTTAGGAAAAAAACTCTCAAAATGAAAGTCAGAGACTAAAAGAAACAAAACATCAACCTAATTTAAAAAGCAACCAAATAAGGAAAAAAATGATTAGAGGAAACAAATGCTATGAAAAAAATTCTGTAATTGGCACGACCAAACTTGCAATGTAGTTTGGCAGTTTCAGAAAATTTGAAGCTGAGCAAACTTATAACCCAGCAATTCCACTCATAGGGATTTATATCAGTGAAACTCTTGTACATATCACTGGAGACATGTTCAGATTATACATAGCAGCATTGTTTGGGAGTAGCAAAAAATCCAGAGAATCTAACTATTCACCAAAGAGAATGGTTATGATAATTGTAGTCTGTTATATAATTGAACACCATGCATGACTTCAAATGAATGGTGTAGAGCTAAATATTTCAGTTTCATATAAACTTCTCAAATATCATGTTAACTTTAAAAAAAGCAAATTGTAGAAGACCATATTCCTTAAGACATTTATACAAAGTTTAAAAAGATTAGAAAACTACTGTGTATCCTTTGAGGATTCATGCTTGTCTATCAAATGTGCAAAGCAATGCATTTTGCTGTTTGCCAGACTAAACATGGATGTCATCTTTGGATTGGTGGGTGGGAAGGAACTGTGACTGTATAGGTGTATGGAGAACTTCAGCTGTGTAATGCTTTATTTCCTAAAAGAATTTCAGCTGTGTAATATTTTATTTTTTCAGCTGCATTTCGGGTCTATGGTTCTTATTATATTATCCTTTAATATATTTGGTATATTTTAAATTATATTAATTAAAAATATTTAAAATATAACCAGAAAGATAAGAAAATATCCCACTCAATAAAAGCAATGTCTCATTCATGAAGTAGGAATTCTAAAAACAACAGTTCTAAGGAAATCTGATGTGTTAACTAAAGCTATTACATGCTTTAAAATATGAAATAAAATCTTACAGACTTTGTTTAAAATATCTGAAATTAATTTCAGATGTATAGTAAATTTAATCTCAATGGCATATTTTTAGACTTAATTTTTTCCCCTTCTTAAAGATTTATTTATTTACTTAATTGAAAAGGCAGAGTGATTGAGAGAGAGACTACTAGATTTCATCTGCTGGTTCACTCCCCAAGTGTCTGCAACAGCCAGGGCTGAAACCAGGAACTAGAGACTCATTCTGGGTCTCCCATATGTGTAGCAGTGTCCCAAGTACTTGGGCCATTGCCCACTGCTTTCCCACGTGTATGTGCAAGAAGCTAGATTGGAAGTAGAGCACATGGGATTCAAACTGCCACAGTATCAGCTCCATGAGTTTTTGTTTTCTAATTACTGAGTTTTACCTCATAACTGGGTTGTGTACATATTTGGGAAGTTTGATAGATAGTTCCCAATAGGTATACACCATGTTCAGCTCTTTTATTTTTTATTCCAACTATTTATTGGGGTGAATTATTAATTGCTAAAAAAGGAGAAACTGATTATACTTGAGGCATTTGGCATTATGGCCTAGAGCACCATTTTATGAAACTTAAAAACAATGTGTTTGTCAATGTGTTAGGAACAATGTATAAAAATTCCATCATTTTTAATGGTACAAATAAATGATACAAGAAAAGTTATGGGGGTCAGTGCTGAGGCGCAGCAGATTACAGCCCTGGCCTGAAGTGCCGGCATCCCATCTGGGCACTGGTTCGAGACCTGGCTGTGCCACTTCCAATCCAGCTCTCTGCTATGGCCTGGGAAAGCAGTAGAAGATGGCCCAAGTCCTTGGGCCCCTGCACCCAAGTGGGAGACCCGGAAGAAGCTCCTGGCTCCTGGCATCGGATCAGCGCAACTCCGGCCGTTGCGGCCAATTGGGGAGTGAACCATCGGATGGAAGACCTCTCTCTCTCTTTCTCCCTCTCTCTCTCTCTCTTCCTCCCTCTGCCTCTCCTCTCTCTGTGTAACTCTGACTTGCAAATAAATAAAAAAAGTTATGAATTACTTAAGTAAACACTTTAATTTTCTTATGCTAGCTTAGCTAAAATTGCCATTTTCACTGTCATTTTAGAAATTTTGTTATTCAAGTAGTGAAACTTTTTTAAATGGATATATTTAGCAGGCTAAAATAAACATGTACAGTATTTAAGTGGAAAAAAATCCTTAAAGATGACGTAATCCATGTCTTCCATTTTCTACTGGCTTCATAAGTATCATTTAAATTAGCTTTGAAGGGGCAGGCATTTGCCATAGCCATTAAGATGCTACTTGATGTGCTGCATCTCATACCAATGCCTCGGGTTGAGTTCCAAGCCAAGTCTGGCTTCCTGCTCATGTAAACCCTGGTAGCAAGCAAGTGATAGTTCAAGTAGTTGAGTCTCTGCACACCGCATGGGAGATCTGGAGTGAGTTCCCAGCTCCTAAATTTGGCTTAGCTCAGCCTGAGGTTTTAGGAGCATTTGGAGAGTGAATCAAGAGATGAGAGTGCTCTCATTCTGTCTCTCAAAAAAAAAAAAAAAAAAAAAAAAATTACCTCTGTAAACAGAGACAACACATTTTAAAAAATATGGTTGCAAAGTTCATCAAGAAAACAATATATTTCTAGTATAATTATTCCCTCATGCATAGTATACTTCTTTTAACAGTGAAAACTCATTCCTTCTAAAATATGTAAATATATAATGATACCATGGCCAGTAGCAAAACAAGACTAACACAAATGAACAAAAAACATTTTGATATGGAAATATTTAAATTTTTATTGAATTTCCTGGCTAGTTATTTAAATTTATTTTATGTAAGTAACAAGTTAATTCTAGCAAATGCTTACATTTGCTAATATTATTTGTGGTTACAAAAATAAAAATGCTAACCAAGAAGATGACTCTTAAAATGAGTTCTTGACATCCCATCCCCTTCAGTTCTGGAAGTTCCTTTCTCCATGTTTCATTATTAATGACGTCATTTACTCTCTCTTTCTTTATAGAGACTCCCACTCCCTGAGGATAGAAAAGGAAACAAAAGGAAACCTGCTCCAGCCATAGAACATCAGAATGACAGATGGGAAGGACCGACAAACCTGAATCTCTAAAGCACACAGAATGTTCCACTCTGGTTTGGAGAAAGAAACGAATCCTGCCTGGTGACATGCACCCACACGTGAAGACTTCATACGGAAACTGCACCATTTCTCCAGCATTTTGTAAGCAAAGTAAGTCACATTATCTTTCCACGCATTTATAGTTGAGGACATGGAGGCACAAACATTTGACCTAACTTGCTGCAAGTCACAGAGTCAGTTACAACAAAATCAGAACATGTGATCCATTGCAGTATTTTCAAAATAAATGTACTGTGAATCTGCCAGGTGTCTGGCTCAGAGCCAGAAATGGGGACAGAGATGAGTAAGACCCTGTTCCTGCCCAGAGGTGCTTAAATTCTGGTGTCGGTAGTGGCTTAACTCCAGAGTCTTGGGAATTATTCTAACATGTGATCATCTGGGTGCTGGTCTCTGAGGGCTGTAGCACAGCATAAACAAGCCTGGGACTGTGTGGGGACCAGAACACCTGGTAAAGTAAACACAGGGAAACAAATTCAGCTCAGTTGTAATCTGTAAAATGCAAATTCATGGAAGAATTTGTTTTCACCTATCAATCTTGCAAAGGTTTTAAAATAACACATTCAAAGGGGAGAAATTGGCTCTCTCATCTGCTGCTGTTGGAAATACAAATTTCATGTTTAAATACCAAAATTGCAGCATCACATGTAATAGCTTACAACTAGGAGTGATTATGTTCAGCAGTAAGTGAATGTTTCAATAAATTTAAGGTTATTTTCATGCAATATTATGGTACATGAGATAGTTTGTTAGGATTACTTAATGACCGGGAAAATACTCATCATCTAATGTTAGGGTGATTACTGATGCCATAAACAGGAGTGTCAATTTGTTAAGTCAACAACAGGAGTCACTGTGCATTTACTCCTCATATAGCATCTCTGTCCTTAATGTGTTGTACAACATGAATTAATGCTATAACTAGGACTCAAACAGTATTTTACACTTTGTGTTTCTGTGTGGGTGCAAACTGTTGAAATCTTTACTTAATATAATACTAAATTGATCTTCTGTATATAAAGATAATTGAAAATGAATCTTGATGTGAATGGGATGGGAGAGGGAGCAGGAGATGGGATGGTTGTGGGTGGGAGGGAAGTTATGGGGGGAAAAAGCCACTGTAATCCAAAAGCTGTACTTTGGAAATTTATATTTATTAAATAAACGTTAAAAAAATAAACATCGATCACAAACAAACGGCAAAAAAAAAAAAAAAGAAAATCAGCATGTTAAACTATATACAGCATGTTCTTACTTTTCTAATAACACAATCTACATGCATAGCTGTTTTATAAGTACTGGAAAGAAATGTATCAAATTAAACATGATTATTTCTAGGTAGCGATACTGTAGTTGATTTTTATTTTTTCCCTTTCTGTATTTTCCACATTTTCTGTAGGGAGCTCCATTAACTTGATAGGGGAGAAAACCCAATCAATTTCAGTTAACTTTTTTCTGACCAAAACTGATTGGCTGAAATGAACTGCCTTCTACCAACTGGCTTCAGGCTGCCAGTGACTCAGCACCCCTCTTGGGTGGGATACTGTGATGGACAGGAAAGGTCATGAGAGCTGAGCCCAGTAATCCAGGCTTGTCTCATTGCTTGATGGCTGGGTCTGCTGGGCAGAACAGTTCTGAGCTTTTGTAATTGCATCCACAAAATATATTTGCCCCATGAATAAAGTTTAAAGAGAGTGTATGAAAGATGTTTTGAAAAGCTCTACATAAATGCAAGTTATGATTTTTATGAGAGAAAGAGGTAAGCTAGAATACAGACTCTTCAAAGAGATTTTAGGCTCAAATTCCAAATGACCAGCTTCTTAGTCGTATGACATAGTCACATCACATAACCTCTTTGAAACTGAGCCCCATAATTCGTTAAGTAGAGATATGAATGCCTTCTTGAGAGGGCTGATATGCATCCCTGCATAGTTGCAGAGTCAGTGTTAGTTTCTTTCCTTTCCTAGGCTCCACCTATTACCACCTACCTTACCCAGAAGCATGGATTCTTACAAAAAGTCAGTGTCAGCACTTTATATTCTAATTTTAAAGCATGTTTATTTGATTTTTTGGCATTTTAAAAATGTGCAGATTCCTTTATATTTTTTTACCCGTTTATGGTTTGGACCAATAGCAAACACAGAACCATCACAGATTGGGAAAAATCAATTTCAAGACTATGAATAGATTTGAAGGGGTCATTGGAGCCTGAAGTCTTCCCCACAAAGGCTCCAAAACTAAGCACTCTCATTAGGGCAGGCAGAATAGTCAGGGTGCATGTCCTTGCTTTGGTGGACTAACATTATTTCAGCTATTAGATCGCCTTAGATACTGGGTTTATCTAAATATATGTGTGACATTCTATAAATGCTCAGAACTCAGAATTTCTCAGGCTCAGTTTCTCCAGTGGCAATTGACTATCACATGTCTTGTCTTAAATGTTTCCTTTAATTAACCTTCTCCATTTTCAAATCAATTTTCTCACTTCCTCATGGTGTTACTGCTATTCTAAGGAATGCAGACCTAAGGGATCAACATTTCAAGACTCCAAAGGTTTCTGTGCCAAGCCTGGAAATTTGTACACAAATAGATAACCTAGCACATCTGCTCTCCCTTCTGCACACTCAAAATTCAAGGACAAAGATTAAAGTATCAGGGGATTCAATCTAACTTTTATTATTGGACACCTGGGCTTTCTTTTACAAGGATTTTCTTCATGGGAGCATCGAGTGGTTTTGAGAAAGGGAGCAACCTATGTAAGGTCCTCCCTATTCTGGGAAGATTAACTTGGTAGGTGGTGGTAGATGGTCTGGAAGGGATGACTTGCATGTGTGGTGACTGTGAAGTCATTAAAAACGAAGAGGCAGATGAAGGACACATTTTCCCTTGTAACTGAGTTGGTGGAGCCCAGTCCGTCCTGCCAGAATCCTATTCCTTGAGTGTGCTCTGGCTTACTTTTACCTGCCAGTGTTTACCTCCTTTAGCTGAGTGCTGAGGAATTAAGACCCTATGCCCAGAAGACCTCAACCACTGACTCACAGGAGTTGAGACATAAACTTTGTCCTCTCTCACCTTTCAAGTGGAAGAATTCTGAGATGTGCTGCTTTAGTTTCCTATTGCTGCTATAAAAAACTACCAAAAACTCAGAGGCCAAAAAACCACAAATCTATTATCTAACAGTTGTGTGGTCATAAGTCTGAAATAGGCCTTATTGGGCTAAAATCAAGATATTGGTAGAACTGCTTGCTTTGGGCGACTGGAGGAGGGGAATCTATTTCCTTGCTTTTCCAGCTTCTAGATGCTGCCCATATTCCTTGGCTCTTGGCCCCTTCCTCCATGTCAAAGGCAGCAGTAGAGCACCTTGAAATCTCTGTAACCTAGACTTGCTGCTTCTGTCTTATAAGAACCCTTGAGATTACCTTGGACCTTTTGGGTAATGCAAGAAAATCTTCCCAGGCCGGTGCCGGGGCTCAATAGGCTAATCCTCCGCCTGCGGCACCTGCACACCAGGTTCTAGTCCGGGTCAGGGCGCTGGATTCTGTCCTGGTTGCCTCTCTTCCAGTCCAGCTCTCTGCTGTGGCCCAGGAGTGCAGTGGAGGATGTTCCAAGTCCTTGGGCCCTGCACCCGTGTAGGAGACCAGGAGAGGCACCTGGCTCCTGGCTTCAGATCAGCGTGGTGCGCCGGCCGCAGTGTGCTGGCCTCAGCAGCCATTGGGGGGGGGGGGGTGTGAACCAACGGAAAAAAGAGGACCTTTCTCTCTGTCTCTCTCTTTCACTGTCTAACGCTGTCTGTCAATAAATAAATAAATAAAGAAAGAAAGAAAGAAAGAAAATAAAGAAAATCTTCCCAACTTGAAGTTCCTTAATCTAACCATATCTGAAAGATCTCCTTTATACTATAAGGTACCATAGTCACAGGTTCTGTGGATTCAGGTGTGGACATCTCTGGGGTGCGTTCTTTGCTTGACTATGTGGGTGTTTCAAGACATCTCCTTCAGGTCTCATGAAAATAAGCTCTGTACAATTTGGTATACTTGCCACAGAAGCATGGTCAGCATCCTTCAAAGTGAAGTGTATTCTCCACTACACGCAAACCAATCAATCACAACACTCCACAGCCTAATCCCACTTAATTTAATTTAATCTCACTAATTAATCCATCTAAATTAATCTCACTTTAGCACAATCTAAAACTGGAATCCTTGAATCAAATCACCTAATACTGGCAGACAAGTAGGAAGACATGAAGTACAAGAAGCCCACGCTGGGTGAAAATCAATGATGAGGTTATAAAGTACCCAGTCATAATCTCCTGTTTCTCATTCTGGCTTTAAATAACCTTGGTATCTTAGACTGATCACTTAAATTCTCTCTGACTGATTTCATTACTTCATGTCGAGGTAGAATTAACAAGACTGGCCCCCTTTTTTGAGAGATTTCATAGGGTTAAATGGAAAATTCTATGTGAACTTGCTTTCAATTCTAATACAATAGCAATAATCATGTTGACTCAGAGAACAGTAAATCTTTTGTTTTACCCATGAATGCAGGTTTTAGTCAAATTATTCTGAGCAAAGCATTCATTGTACAATTGGTACTATGCAACTATTTGTTGTTTTGATAATGAAGAGAAATCCCTGTTGTCAAATAATCTAATTACCACTTTCTCATTTGAATTGGTATATGTTGAACCACCCAGTTACTTTGATAAATCCCTCACTCTATATCTAACTTTTTTATGTGAAACAAATTGTCTTCTCTATGCATTTTGGATAATTCTGCAAGATGAAACAATGAATAGTCATTTGGGAAATGATAGAACATTTGAGTCTGTAGTCTATTTTTAATCATACTTGCATCATTTTTATTGAGAATCTATTATGCTTAGGGATCTTTTGGAGAACAACCAACAGAACTGGTCTTCCAGAAGTTCACATAGCTGAAATAACAACTGATCTCTGCATTTTGCCTTTAGATCACGGGTAACTTGTTATAGCTGGATGCTTCTCTAACTTCAGTCATTATTAAAACATCAGGCTGGCGCTGCGACTCACTAGGCTAATCCTCCGCCTTGCAGCGCCAGCACACCGGGT